ACACAGTCCTCTCTCTTTAATGAGAAAACTTCAGTGTGTCACAATGCCTTGAAACAAAAAAAGATACTTGTATGGAAAAAATTATAATTGGTAGTGGGTCCCATATAGCTAAATTATGGCTCTAATTTAATCACTAAATTGCCATATGCTCTGTTCTAAGCAATCAGCCAGTTCCCTACCACGACTCTCCAGAAATAACTGTGCTTTGCAATTGCCCAGCTGGGCATTTACAATGTTCCACAAAGGTCTGGTGCCATACAGTTGGTGGAAAAGGACATCACATCATCATGGTCCTTGCAAATTCATCCAATTTTTATTTTTGAGACCAAATGCTGAAAAAGAACAACAAACGCAGTCACAAAACTCTGAACATGTGAACAACTGCAAAGTACCATTGTAGATATTGACAGGAAGCACTAATGGAATTGCGAGAAAAGTCACGTCTCCAGGTTTGCCCCCTAATTTACTCATTTTAAGACAAAGACCTGTAATACCTGCAAAACGCACTCAAACTATTAGGCAACATCGACTTTCCAGTCTAAAACTGGGATCACTATTCATTCCTGGCCCACACAGAAGCCCTTAGACATGCATCAGGAAACAGACGCCCATTCTTTCACTGAATGTCCTCTTCTCTTGGGCATTTAAAAAAATTCCCTCCCAACCCCCAGCTTGAACGTTCTCTTTTTATGAAGTGTATATTCCGGCAGGCATAAAGCAAGACTTGACTAAGAGACATGTAAGTATTAACTGATAATCATTCATGTGTTGTATGTTAAGACTGTAGTCAAAAGATGAGAATAGCCCTGAAACCAGGGACCAGAATCTGAGTCTTCTGCTCCCACCAGTGCCTGGAGCACAGGTACGAAGCCCCTGTTCCTCTTGCCCTTTTCCAGAGCATACCCTGACACATGGCCAGCTGCCAAGGGGCTCAGGATCCACAGCACAGGTAGAGAGAGACCTTCTCTCTGCGCCTGGGAGACCTTCTTCAGATGTGGCAAAGCGGTGGGCTCTGGCCACCTCCCAGGGAATGCCTGAAGCCCAGGACAAAGCTGGACACCAACAATACTGGATACACACAATTCTTCTCATGGGTTTCTTACACAAGGTGGAACCTAGCTTCAGTGCTTTGCCTTGCTCACCCAACCACACTCGCGATCCCTTCTGGTCACTTGATGGAGTGACAGCGTCAAATCAGGCAATAAACAGTACTTTGCATTGTACTCTGAGGTCTTCGGAGAAACCTGCATCTTCCATTAGCTGCATAAGGATCGGTAGTTATACTGGGCCAGCTGAAAAGGACCTCTGCTGCAGATCAAGTGTCTCTATGGACTCTGATCACTTTTTTTGGCATTTCTGTTTTCTTTTAAACAAGTATCAGATTTTTGATACTTCAACTGTAATATGAAAAAAAAAAAAGTATTTTACCAGCATTTACAAATAAAAATATCCCAGTGAAAGGAAATCAATTAAAAGCTTTTTCCTTTCCTCCAAACATACAGAAAACATAATTCTCCTCAAATACTATAATTTTCACACAGTTCAACAATCTTCTTTCTACAGCTAGTTGCTGAAAATGTGACTGAAGAATACAATAAGAACTCAGGAATATCTTGCTGGATTAATTAAATCCCTATTTTTCAAAAGGTGAATTTATTCTTATGGACTTCAAATTTCAAGTTTACCAATATCAAATCCTCTCAGTCACAGTATGAACTTTGTAACATATTTCAAAAGCACGCTCCTCTGAACTTCACAGAAATAATTCAGCTCACATATTGTATGTATTTATATATCACTGTATCTGATCTGTCTAAAGCATATAGACCTAGCATATTTGCCTATTTGCAAATGCAAAATGTATCCTCTCTGAAACTACTGCAGACATGGAAGAATATTAGGAGCCTTAGATTTGGCTTATTTGCAAAGAAACTCAGAAAGTCATGCCAAGGCAAAGCAGAAAACTTGGACCATTCTCCTCTTCAGGTCTAGTTAATAGGATTGTTTTTACAGAACAAAAGAACAAAGCATAAATATTTAATTCTTATGACATGCAAACACTGTATTGTTTTCCTGTTGCTATGGATAACGCTCCTGTTCAATTTTTATTCGCTATCCAATTAGTAGATTAACAGAAGTGCAACTTGCCACCTCTGCACTTGAGGAGACGGTGAAGACGAGACAGGCATTTCTCAGTTTTAGCAAGGGTGGGAATACTCCGGGTCAAGAGAGAAGCACATGTGTTATTTTTCTCACAAAGTCAGGTCACAGAGTATAGTTCAGCTGTTCACTGGGACGAAAACCATTATTTGCAAGACTTTATCAGCAACACAATTTTTAAAACTAATTTTATTCTTATGGTATTATTTTATAAATACATAATGTGAATTAGCATTTAATTGTTTCAACCTGAGATTTTAATTTTTCACCTCTCAGTATGGGAAGTCTCTTGGCAGCTCTGGAGGCTGTGTGAAAATTAATTTTTTTCTTTAATTATAAATTGGGTTTGCTGTAATAGTGGAGGCTTTAATTGAAATATTTTAATTAAGTGCTTGAAGCAACACAATGCTGGCTTTTTGCTGGAGACTAGTTTATCTAACAGTCTGGAGTTTCACATTTACTCAGCTCCTGTGCTGAACATACAGACTGCTATATAACCAATTGTAACTGCTGCTTCTACCTGGCTAACGGCACGTAAAAAGACAAACAGCGAGTGCATTCAACTACACACCTTACACGATGTTAATAATCTGGGCAGTAAAAAGGGGTGGTTAGGACTGTTTAAAAATAATTAGAGTGAGTGAAAGAAAGATAATAGTTGTAGCATCTTGTTCAAAATGTATTGTGATCCTCACAGATATACGTCCTGCCTTCTGGCAGCCCTCCCAGGAGGAACAAGTGGCAGACAGGGCTATCAGATTGCTCTCCGACGGATGGCCAGACTGTGGCAAAACATGAGCTCCAGCAGGGAATGCTGTCCTCTTCTTCTCCAGACAGGATATCAAAATTGAAAGCACTTGGAAGGTTCATAAACAGCAGTACCAACACTATTAAGATTTCAGGAGTGTGGGGAGGGGAGAAGGTTGATTGCTTTTTAACACATTAATTTCCACATTTGAACATTTCAGAAACAATACGATCTGTCTCTGGGGCCCCTCCTGATGACACTAACAGATAAAGAAATGGCATCTAGAATTACAGAGGAAACTGAGAACAGCAGCAGCAGAAATTCATACTTGTAAAACACTACTTATCCAAAAACTCTGAAGCTTTCTGGAAAGAGGGGGTCTGGCAGGTGGCGTTATGCTGAAAACATGGGCAAGAACAGCAGAACAGTAATGCTGATCACCTGCACAAAATCTATCCGCAAACATCTGCATGGCTGTGTTGAGAACTAGGCTATAAAACAGTTTATCTGTTATCATTGTGTTGGGTAAAAAAACCCAAGCCACCTAAGGTTTCAAGCACTAACTACGGAAACTGCCTCTGCGATATAACTAATGAGTTAAAAACATTTATACTTCATTGCAGATGACACCAAAAGAGTTACTTGCAGGGAAACCACATGAGAACCAGAAGAGGCAAGGATGTAGTTACAAGTGAAAGATATTGAAATGTATGCCTGAGTTAACAAGATTTGTGGGGAAGAACTCTCCATGCATTGCAGTAACAGGAAGATACTGTTATTTAAGAAAAGCCCTCTCCCCTTCTACTAAACAGTGCCCTCATTGATCAAGTAACCTAAGATCAAACAACAGATAACTACAACAAGGTTCCACTGTATTTGACAGTAGATTAATTAAACTACACAAGAACATACAGATTCACACAACATTATCTTGCTTCCAGCAGAAAACACTTAGGAAGAAAAGGAAGAAGGACAAGAACTTAGTACAATTATGTAAAAGAGACAGACAAAACGTCGTTTCAGAAAACAAGTAATGGCTGGGTCAAGTATCTAGGTAGAGTAATACTTCAAAATGTAAGAGTGGAGCACTGCAGGGTGTTTCTTGCCCTGTTTCTCTCATATTCCTGTTCTGTACTGGCTAGTACAATTCATTCTGACTGTCTGAAGAAGAAAAGCCTGCCAACTAATCTTAGAAGCCAAGGGAGAGAGATTAACAGAGGAAATGAGTAGGTCTAGGCTTCAAAATCCACCTTCTCCAATTTCCCCTTCTTCCATCTCAAGTGCATAACAAAGCTGTTATGAAACCACATGTTGTAGTGGTAAAAAACATTTTGTGTTTTTAAAATCTGAGTTGAGAACATGGCCAAAATTGTGCCTGAAAGCTGAAGAGGCTTATTAGAGTTGGCAGGATAAAAATTTCAGGAAAATTAAGAAATTCTCAGCTGGTGGAGATCACTTTAGCTCCTTTAATCCACATTGCTATGCTGATCCACACCAGCTGAAAATCTGAACCTTCTTTTGTGTCGTGCTATTTTTAAGTAGCTACACTTCAGCCTTGAGTACAATTGTTCAATCCTATGACGTGGTCCTGAAAGACAAGTACAGTGCAAGTAAAAAAGAGCCATCACCAACATGTCCCAGTCACTCACCGAATCCTTCATGTGCCCATCAATTCTTATTAGTGCTATTAAATTACCTACAGCTGTTCCTGAGTCTCTGTTGGGAGCTACAACGATACACAGCAAACCCCCCAAAATGGAAGCCTTTCTGCTTTTAACATTCCCTCCTGTTCAGACCACTTATGCCCCCTGTGTTTTCTATTAGTCACCTTGGTGGCCTGTAACGTTATCACTCTGTAACGGCAAGACGTAACCCTGGCTTTTGTGTCGCATGTTACCCAATCTCTTCTTCCATCACTTACTCGCTGAAAGAAAATGAACTGTAGTTGCTCTTCCAATCAAGAAATCCCCTTGGTCTCCAGGGTGAGAAAAAATTCCATGGCAGCACCTAGATCTATTAAATCATACAAACCCAAGCTTTGGGAACAGAACTGGGTCTGTCAGGTCGTTGATGTCATCCCTCAGACACTCACCAGGGTGACAATGGCACATTCAGCAGTCAGTTGAGCAGCACTGAACAACGTCCGAACAAAGCGGTAAATCTGTTTCTGCTCCGGGTCATGTTTGTCATAATCTGGTGGCACTTCGGATTTCTGAGGAAGAAATACTTCCAAATAGGTGACCGAAACAAAACCAAGCAGACAGAAGGAAAGACAGTTCACATGAAAGGGAAGAAGAGGCAGATGAACTTACCGAAAGGGGATGAAGGTTTTCATCAAAAATATCTAAGAGCATTCTTCCGTCTGTGTCCCTAAAAGGTATTAAAACCAAAGTAGCGTCATTATCTGAACACGACAGCACGCAGCTCTCATAGACACAAGTGTATCATTAAAACTCCAATACTTCTCATGCTGCAGGGTGCTCAGGAACACTGCAGAAATGCGATTTTCAAATAGAAGTTGGATCTATTCTGCCATAAGGTTCAAATGTAATATGAAATCCATATTACAAAGTATGCTAAAGTTCTCAGCTTTCAATGCCAAAGACACACAGCTTTTGCACTCTGTACTGTGAGGCTTTTTCACAACCTAAGAGGTCCTACTATAACCTTATCATAAAATCAGCTCAGCTTATTCTCCTTTCCTTAACTGTTAATCCTTGCAATCTCTTCTTTTAACTAATTCCTCCTCCTCCTCTATTGTCAACATCATGAACATTAGCAAACATGCTGCACTATTTTTACAGTTAGCCTTTAGTTAATACATACATACTTCACTTTTTATTTCTTTGGAAAACCCTATTCTACTAATGATTTCTGAAAGCAAAAAGGAGTATACACAAAAAAAATTCAGACAAAATAATATTCCTATTAATTGGTTTTATTTGCTATTTTGCTCTCAGATCCCTGTTGCTCAAGATCAGCATGAAAGTTGATGCAACTTCATGAGCCTACCATCCAGAATGCAATTTAAGATTTTTGCTGTGTGTAATCTCAGCAGAAACAGGAACAATCACAAAAGCAAATGGTATAACAGTACCAGTCAGAACTGGACACTTTCTGGACAGATGCATCCATGTCACTTACTTATTACAATCCCTCCTTTATTTATAGCATCCCTGGTACTTGGGTCACTGAGTTCTTAAAAGAGAAACCACTGAATATGTTATCTATCTTTACTCAACAGCACATGCCTCTCAGAGCATGCAAACACGAGTTTTACAGTGGATTCATGTCTACAAAATGTACCTATTAGCAGCTAACATATGAACCTCAACATCTGAAGGTGACATTTTTTCTGCTATAAAGCCTGCTAGCACTGGAAATGAACTTTTTTTTTTTTTTTTTTTTAAGGAGTACCTAAATTTAAACAAAAAAGCAGATTGAGATAATTACTAGAAAATTCGTAATCAGCAAGGATTTTAGGCCAGACTCTTTTACCCCTACATAAAAAGGCTAGTGTATCTTAATGCAGAAGTAGTCTCACTGGAACCATTGATGTGCTACAGTAAACTGTGGCCCTTCACAGTGAGAAGACAGAAAGAATTTCCTATTTTATTTCTTCATGCTGTAGCTGCTGCATGCTATGAAGGCACATTTGATTGCCCTCAAAATAATCTATTATAAAAAAAACCAAAAACAAACAAACAAAAAAAACAAACAAAAAATGAGTTGATAGGGTTTTCTCATCATTAGAACAAATTCACTTTGTTATCTTTCAAAAATGAACCATCTACTAATTAATCTAAGAATTTTTCACGGTTAGTTTGTTGGTGTTTATTTTATTTTATTTATTTATGTAGCAAATTCACCAATACTTATGCATTCCTCCGAAAACAAGACAGGTGCAGTCTTTTACCACTTGTTGAATGGCTAAGCACAACAAAAGCTGCAGAAAGCCAATCAATATAACAACGATAGGAGACACTGGGAAAAGAAGGAATGATAAATAGAAATGTTACAGTCAAATGAAATGTGGGAAACATATGAAGGAATATTCTATTTCATATGCAAAAAACTGGGACTGGTGAGAGTTTGGAATATTAGAAAGTAATTTAGTTTTAATCCTACTGTGCAGGAGAAAAGGAACAAATAAATATTGTCTGAAAAGAATTCTTCTCTGGCAAAGCAGGTGCTTGACTCGTTTTCTGTCAAAATCAACCTTGAGTCTATACAAGAGTTACAGCGGTTTCTTACTCCCCACCCCCCATAATGAACCAAAATCTGCCACATACGTCAACAACTTCCTCTCGCCTAGAATGGCAGGAAACAGAACATATGTTTTGCTATTGCTGTTTCAGCAGCAAGTACAACTGAACACTGTTATCACCTTGTCCCTCCGTTCCTAAATCAGAGACAACCGAAGACAGAACAGTCGTTTCAGCGTCGCTAATTGATGTACGCGAGCCTGCTCCAGCATCGCTGCCGAGACCATCTGTCCCGAGTGCGGCAGAGGGCGCGTTGGCAACGCACCTCCCCACCCCGGGCAGCTTCAGGACGGAGACGCAGCAACCAGTTCTTCCCGAATAAATCACCTCTCCATCCCAAAAGCGAAAGGACAGATAACAAGATTCCCAAGAAGATAACATTCAGAATGTATTTGTTTTCAAGACACTGACATGGGACTCTATTTTATAAAGGTTTAGCCTCCCTGTTTACTAGTTGCAGATCAAATTTGCATCAAGTCCTGTGAGACCACGAATGGGCATATTTTACTACAGACAGAAATCGGCTCCGTGGCAATCGGCACGAAGCGAGCCTGGTGTACTCTTGCTCTGGATCCCTCTTGCTCGACCGTGAGCTCTTACTGAAGTTTCTCACCCTTTGTAGTCCCTAATGTGCTCCATTCTCCTGAGCCTTTCACTCAGCTGGCATCATACTTAACAGAGTGCTTAAGAGTAACTTATTTCCACAAAACTTTAGAGTCTGATTACCTGTGATATCTCTATTATTTAGTCAAGCATAGTAAAAATTGACTAGTTAGCCAAACTAACTCAGGGACGATGGAGGTAAGGGGAAAAAGGGAACCACAGATGGATAAACAAGTAATCCAAGCATGATCACTCACGCCTCATTTCCTGGGAAATGAGATTAAAAGTTTGTGAAAAGATTTCACTCCCACTTTTACTTTACATATTGCCATGTTTCAGTCCAAGGCCCGCTGACGTCTTGGAAAGTCTTCTAAGAGCTTTCAGCAGGGATCAAGCCCTGAGCCTTTCTGCCCTTGTGCACTTCTAAAGGTTTCTCTTTAGATGTTAGCCTTGTTTTAAGAAGTGTGATGGGTTCCAGTGACCTGAAACATGGTCCCAAATGACGTACCCGGTTAACTTTAAACTTATGAGTAATTCCTGTTGTTCTAGTCGGACTTCTTACAGTCCAGAAGAAAAATCATGTAAGTGGCTTGTTAGATCGAGATCTAAGCCAAGTTCTCTGAAAAGACACATTGAAAAGCCATGGACACAGAAGTGACTTAAAATATTTATACAATCTCTCCTTAGAAATGTCAGGACATACTATTTTATGATACTGTGACATATCACGAGGACAGGGAATTTAAGATACAAAAGTGCAATTCAACATGAAGAAAGCTAATTTACGTACCAAGTTACTTTTTAGAGAACTTATTTTCTATGCAATTTCAATCAGCTTCACTGAGCAGAGATCTAAAACATACTACACCAGAAGAGATAAGCCAGAACCTGCTCTGTTTCTGAGGCATCTTGAATTACATCTATTTACAATGTCACTCTTACTGTATAATTAACAGTTTCTATTTCAAAACCAATTAACTGATCATTGATTTACACAGTTAACTCCGAAAATCACTATTCAGATTTCTCTACATGTAATTGCAACATATGCAACAATACAGAAGTGCCCAGTGCATATAAAACCGAACACTGAATCATCAAAGTTTTTCAATGCTGAACTGTACTTCCAGATTTTTACAGTACGGAATCCTCTAATTTTTATTTTTCTAAACAAAATAATATATATAAAAAATACAAAAGAATATGTTCTCATTTCTAACATGGGAAATAAGAAAACTACTACCCAAAAACATTGTGAAAGAAACAGAGCATGGATTTTTAGGGTCTGAGCAGTTAATTTGTTTTGATTAAAGATATCTTCACTACAAGATTTCATTATTCACATACCTGTTTTTGATGTGGTAATATATTGCAAGAGCTACACTGTAAAGAAAAATACAGAGTTAATATCTCAGGACTGTCAAATTATATTATTTGTCATATTAACACACAAATTTAAAACCTAGCACAATGCATGATAAAAAGTATGCTCAACAGCCTGTTTTCTTCTGTTCATTGTTAGATACCAGGAAAACTGCTGTAAATAGACAATTTTATAATATTTGTTCAGCACACTCCAAGTGCCTCCTTTTCACTAGTGATGAAGTACCTTACAAAAATCCTCATATTCCACATACCAAGTTGCACATACTGCCCATTTAATGCCCTACTCCACTAAAGTCAATGCTAAAACTCCCACTGACTTCCAAGGTTGAAGATAAGGCATGCAGGCATTGGACATTGTCTTTTATTGTTTGCTAATGTTGCCAGGCTAACATGAAATGTTTTAATCACCATTGCCTTATGATTTTATATTTAAATCCATTAACTTTGGGCTGTCTTTCTATGTAGTTACTCACAAACCAGACTCAAATACCAGGCTCCTACAGTTTTATGGCATCAAGTTACTTATTTTAACTCTGGAAAGATGACTCCCTGAATAACTTACTGCATTATACATTTCCCATGTTCTTGACCACACATCCAAGTACCTCTGTTTATGTTCTGCGCAAAGACAAAATGTGTCCTTATATTCACAGAAAACTAAGATTTTAATTACATATACAACTAACTGATCCCATTCACATTCGAGACTGAAGAAAATTAAGACGTGGCTTCTCATGGCTCTTCTCCAGCTTCCAACTCATGATTCCAGCTTTATCGAAGGACATACGCTTTACCCATGACAAGAGCTTTATTGAAGAAGCTTTATTATCCCTCCCTACTTGTTCCAGCACCATAAAACCCAGGCAAAGCTACAGGGGAAGGAGAAGGGAGGAGGGAGTTCACCGATTCTATTTGTTGACAATCCGTTTTGTCAGTGATTCACTGTAAGATGCTTATGTCTTATACTGACGTAAAACTCCCCTCCTTTTCTTTTCCATAAAAGGCCTTTTAAAAGAGTCGATTGGTTGCTCTGTAATTTTATTCCAGAGTTCTTACATGAAAACAGACATACTGAGTGCTAGGAAAACAATATGTTGGAGCTACCCCATTAGTAGAATTTTAATTTTTTTTTTTTTTTAACAGCCATGTAGCAGAAAATATTTTTTCTTAGTTGAAAGTAAATATATTTTACTAACTTTGTATGAGCGTTACAGCTTTTACCTGGCTGCATTAGAAGTTTTGACATCATAAATGCTTTTCAAATTTGATTTTTTTCTATAGATACATATTTAAGGAATGAAGAGATACTGTGTAGCACGGACATTTAAAGGACACAGTTCTCAATGAACACAAAAGCCCACATTTATGAATGAATTTAATTTGACTGAAAGCTATTCAACAAAATGAATTAGTCCTAAAATTTAATTTTTAATTATGCCCCTAGGAACACACTTGCAGCTCCAGTTCACTTTATGAAAGCTGATGCAAGAATCTATGTGCAGAGGTCTGCTTGGTGCCCATATGGTTGCTTTTGTAACAAAATGTCAAATTAAATTTAGGAAAATATTTACTATTTAGAAATCTCTATCAGAAACTGAACGTCTTTCAGAGCTGTAATAGATAAACTCAGATCCAAGTTTCATTCTGCTTTTCATACGCTGGTTCAGCTAGCACTCAGTGTGCAGAAAAGAAGCTTATGAAGCTTTCCATCACCCTACCCTGGCCACCCTACTGATGCTGCAGATCTCCCATAGATGCGCTAATATTTTTAACAGGCTGGTGCATAATGTGACCCAGAAGAAATAAATGAGCTGGCCAAACTACATCCCTCATAGATTTACCTACAGGCAACAGTCATTTATCTGCAGAGACTGCCAGGATGGTGGCAAGAAATGATGTTGTACTACAAAGGCAATAATCCTGCAATCTCCCCACCCATAAATCTGTTAAATGTGCAGCCAGACAGGAGAGAAGAGGAGGCAAAGACTCCTCACCCAGAGGCCTCGTGTGCCAGAGTCCAGTTTCTCACCCCACATAACCCCTTTTCAAACCCTCTGACCCCTTGCAGCTTCCAACCCTTCCCACACTGGCAGCCTGGCCCCAGCCCTGCACAACTCCTCCCAGCCAGACCCAGCGCTGGCTCTTCCAGCCTGATGTGTCCCCTCTCCTCCCTACAGCTCTGCCCCCCGCTACGCAGCCCAAGTTTCTCCCAAACATCACCACCTTGCTCCCCCACAGCTTGCCTTTCTCTTTCCTCTTTCGCAAGGTTGCTGCTGGCCACCATGGCCCGCTGAAAACGCTTCTCAGCTGCTGCGGACAACTGAACCCATCTCTTCTTTCCGCGAGCAGTCTCAGTTCTGACGCAAAAAGGGACCCAAAACCCACCCAAAAGGCTGCACTTACAAAAATCTGCATGCAAAGGATTTTAGAGCAGAAGAGTATGAGATTCCAGGAGGGGAAAAAAACCTCAAAATGAAAAAACGTTTTCCAGTGTTCATCTGAATTATTTTTAAGTTGCTAATTAAAGAAACTTGAGGAAAAGCAAGACTATATTTCAGGCAGAAATAGATTATGAGGAATTAGGTGTCAGTCTGACTGCAAATCCCTTCTCCAATTCCCTCTTTTTTCCTTAAACAGAAAAATTAAGAACATGTTTTAGTGACCACCAACATTACAAACTCCATTGGACATGTTAGTCTGATTATATTTGTCTCTCATGTAAGTATCTCTGTAGCACAAATTTTGTCTTAATAAATGCTTGCATTTGAGTACACCAAGGTAACCATCGTACAAACAACTCAAGAGAGTATATCAGCAATCATAATAAACAAACAGCATAAAATGCCTGAGCATTTGTTCTCTCATTTTTTCCCCTTACTATACAAATTGTAAAGAACAATACTCTATAAATATCAATTTCATTTCTCTCCAAATGAAAAAAGGCACCAGTGAAACCTGAAATGATCACCTGAGACGCCACCCAAGGGTAAGCCCATGTGCACATCACAAAGCTCCCCACTGCTGCGTAATAAACTGCCTGTGCCCTTGTACTCAATAAGGAAATGAATCTGGAGGCAGTTAATTTCCTTTTCAAATAGAAAACTGGAAGGAAAGCTTAGCAAATGAGCATTTTCTCATGAACAGAAAAGAGCTCTTCAATTTCAGATAATTCTGAAATTCTGAATAAACAAGTACCCAAGTAAGTTTTGAGGACTCATCCAAAACAAGTAACCAGTTGAACACTGAAGCACAAGGATTTCAGCCGCTGGAATTTGAGATCCTTAATTGCTGCTTTCTGTTGCGATACGCAGTATTGGGCGTTTGACTCTGCAGGGACTTAAAATAAGAGTATTACCCTTTGCTCATCCTATTCACTGCCTCTGCAGCATGACTGGATTAAATAAATTTACTACTTCAAAAACTAAAACCTTTGAAGCTTGCTTACTAAAGGTTCAGAAATATTTATACATAAATACACATATGTAATGTAGGTTCTAGAAAAAAAAAATTACAAAACCCACCATTTGATGGTATACTTGAGGTTTGGTTGACTGACTGTGCTGTCATCCAGGAAAATAGTGGAGCAGGAACTGTACTTCCTTCTCAGCTGCCCAGGAGGATGCTATGAAAAACATGCAAAAGAACAATAGCAATTATGTAATACCAAAGCATTTTTCTGAGGAGATGTAAGAACTTAGAAAAAACAAATTTCTCTTGTCTCTCACAATGACGCACACAGTAATGTGATCATGTTTTGAAGCAGTTCAGAAAGTTCAGAAATAATTACCAGTGCAAAAATCACAGCTATCCCTGTCTGAGCCTTGCCTAATGCTTTCAAGTCCCAATCTCCCCTCCGTCCCCTCCTTCCCAAAAACCATGCAAAAATTTGTGTGCAGAATTACTCAAATACATACGTACATTTGGAAAGCAAAGATGAACAAGACCTATGTTTCTGTCCTCATTCCAAAAGAGTAAGTGGAAGAGTAAAAAAGAAATCATGTTAACAATGAAGACTGATTTAGAAACAGATACAAAACCGTGCTTGGAGAAAAGAGAATTAAAAAAAACCAACCAACCAAACAAACAAAACCCCAAACAAACCCTAACAGAATGAAGTAGGGGAAAGAGGTCTTTACAGTAGAACTATTAAAATATCTAAAAATTAATAGGGAAAATTCAGAAAAATTAATCCATCAAGAAAAGATTGTTATTAGACAGGAAGAAAATTGACTGAAGGATGTAAGAGAAAGTGGATATGCAAATAAAAAAGAAACATATCTCTTAATAGAAAAAAGTTTTCAACAGATTTCAATCCTACTTCTGCACTACCATAGGAAAACATTGGAAAGCTCAGCCACAAAATGACATTTGACAACACAACTTATTTCTGAAGATTTTTTGTTGAGAGGGCTTCCCCTTCAGCTGTTTAGAGCAGCCAGCAGTCCACCAGTCTAAAGAGAATAGTTTCATCATATCAGCTAATAGGTATCACAGTCATTAATGCTCTTTGATTTTATCCTTGCTTATTCTACCAACACAAGTGAATAACTTGACCAAGAAACTGCGTCAGGAAAGTTAAGACCAGTCAAATTACATGTTTAACTTACAACAGAATAGAATTAAAATTCACTTGGCACATCCACATGACAATTTTAATTTGCCTTACAATGAATGTTGTTTCCAGCGTTTCAGTGGAGAGACCAATGTCAATACCCTCAGTGGAATCCAGACATTTAGCAGCTCAGGGCAACTGAGTACACAGGCTAAGGTCCTGAGGCTCCTACCTCAATACATCTTCCCCTGCCTTATTTCCAAAACAGGTATTATTTCAAGTGCCAGCACTCCATCATCTCACTAAGATTTCATTTTCCATAGGCAGCAGACTTCTTAGCAGCACTCATTAGATACAGAACTGACAGACTCCTGGTAAAACCTATGTGCATCTGAGTCATCCTTCTGTTTTTTCCAGCTATGAGCAAAAGAACATTCAAAGTCTTCCATTAATTGAAGAAAATAATTTTCTGAAGCTGTTGCAATTGTAGAAACATTATGTTGAAATTATTTCAAAGTTCACCAAGAAATTCTATCAAGGTCCCACACTTGACCAATACATTTGTAGGCTGAACTGCTTTTCTTGGAATTGAAAAAGTTTACTGAAAAAATGAAAAATAATATCCCTTCTTAGAAATTCTCCAGGAGTTTGGAAAGGTACTTTGTAGTACTTTGGAAGCTCACAATTCATCCACCTTCCAAGCTATTACATGTTAAGCAAGGCAACAAACAGAAAATTTAGAAGCACTGGAAGCATTAATGCCGTAAAATGTACTAACTAGCATTGCTGTATACAGACAGAATGACTAGGGGACTGATGATTTATACCTTTTATTCTACCACAGCTTAGTTCAAATTCCTGGATTAGACTGTTGAGTACCTTCCGAAGGCATGATAAAGGCAAAGCAACTTAAAAACAACTGCAAATGAGACTGTTTAGTGGTTGAAAAAAGGGAGAGGTACAGACATTTCAGCATCATTTAAAAAAAAAAAAAAAAGGCACATGGAAAGTTTTAACTCTACATTTGAAGTGTCAACATGTTTTAAAGGTTTAGATAAAATTTAAGATAAATGGACTGGATTCATTCAAGGCAAGCATGAGTAAAAAACAGAAAACAACTCTGTAGCAACACCACTATCAGATTTAAATTTTCTTATGTAAATAGCACTCCAACATTTGATACATGTCAATAATTAGAGCCATGCACCTTATTTCTGAAACTATCATCACAGAACTCTCCACGGTTTTCAGCCCACATCACACTTCGTTAGGCTTAGAACTTTTCACACTTCAGAAAAATATGTGGTGTCTCATGCCTCACTCTCTGTTCATAACAACTTGGCAGGAAGAGGTACCTCTCCCAGTCTGAAAAATGGTGCCAAGCGTAAACCTACTATCTTGGGTATATATACACATTTGTGCCATGTGAGTAACTAACCTATCGGTAGATCAACATTCCCAGCTTCTACTCTGACGTCCAATTGCAGCCATATGGTATGCTGGGAAACAGATTTGCTACCTTTTCCAAATTACTGGAAAACACCCTCAGTTTCCTATTCTAGCTTGACTAAGCTGGAAGACACCTCAAGTCCCACAGTTCAGTCAAACAGGCTTTTCTGAGCCTCCATAAAATGCTGCAGGTGAACCTTCTCCATCCTTGCAAAGGACAAAAAGGTTACTGAGCATCACCTCAGTATTCAGCACTGCCCTGTACAGGAACCCTTCTGTGTCCATTTCAATGGAGTAAGTCCACCCGAAACTGTACAAGAGCTTCATGCCTTCACATTTCAAAATTGTCACGTCTGACCACAAAAATCTTCCATTTAGACAAGTCAGAGAGGCTCTAAGCAAGAAAAATCAGAAGAGCTGAGAAAGAATATAGAGCCTTTGAAGAAATTAGCCAAACCCCCTGTCAGTAATGGGATCCTTCTCAGGTTCTGTCCCACCATTAAGGCTGACATGGGGGAAAGAAAGGACTGGCACAGCTCCTTTTGTAAATCTTCATATGCAAACATTACAGTGAGTAGAGGACGCATGTGGAGCCTTGGCAATCTCTGCTATTACAAATTAAAAGCACCTCATTGACATGAAGTGGGATTCACTTTAAATGTACTCTAACTTGCAGTAGTAATATTTTTGTACCCGAGCTGAGATTCAGTAGACGTCATGCTTCCCAACTTCAGCAAGACTTCTCACTTCATCTCATGTAAAATTCCCAAAGGGCAGAACAAGGAAAACATGGTAGGTAAAAACAACTTGGAAAACCATACTCTGGTTACCCATGGATCCCTTTCAAATTGGAAGGTTGAAGTAAGAGACATTCCACAGAGGTCTGGTCTACTCAATATAAAATATTGAGCGATAACTTTGATAACAGAATCAAGGTATTCTTTACTGCATTTGCAGCTAACATTAACTCGTGGAGGACTAAAAAAAAATTATTAGAAAACAAGGTTACAATCCAGAACAATCTTGACAAATCTGGGAGCTGGTCTGCACAAAAATATATCCCTGCAATCCACTAAGTACAGATGCAAGGCTGTACACTTAGAGAAGAACCATCTGCCTAAATACACTATGGCAAGTAACTGTCAAGGCTGTCATCAAAAGGATGTGCAGATCACATGACAACAAATTCACTCTTTTATAAAAAAGGAAATTATCATATAGGATTTATAAATAGAGTTATTGTGTATAAAACAGGATAGAGCACCCTTCCACTCTGCTCATCTGGAATATTATGCCCAGTTTTGACCACCATATTTCAAGAAAAATGAATTGATTTCAGATAGTGAAGACGAGAGAGCAGCAAGATTAATCAGAGGTTTGAAAAAATTGATTTAGAAGGAAAAACTGAAAGACTGGAGAGGTTTTCTCCAGGAACAAAGCAACAATATTGGCCTTCAGTCATGTTGAAGGGAGTTCCGAAGAAGGGAATGTTGTTCTCCATGACCATTGTGGATGGAATAAGAAAGAGCAGGCTTATATTGAACCAGGGAAAATTAAGATTGGACATGAAAGTATGAGAGGAGGTGATGGCAAAAAAACCCCATCCCAAACTGTCACCTTTTTCTAATGGCAGGGACAGCTTGAGTGACTTGAGCAGTGATAGAATCTCCATCACTGAAAGCTGTAAAGAAGAGGCAAAACAAACACATCAGGAATATCTTAGATGCTCTGAGGCAAGAAACTAGACTCAAAAACCTCTTGAGATTAATTCTGGAACAATTTTCTATCATTTAGTGATTTCTTTTGGTGGAGACGATTCGTAGCTCTTTACTGCAGAAGCAGTTGTTATTTTTCTCATTTCAACCAAAGAAGTTCATTAAGAAATGCTGGCAATGTAGGTTACAACAAATACACAATAGCTATTTTGTGGAGTTTCTTTCTTTACAGAAAAAGATTAACAACAGAAAAAAAAATGCTTTAGAACTTGCTAAGCTTTTATATGTGTTACAGAACAAGTTCTAAGAGATCAAGATTCAATTTAACACGAGGTGTTTCTAGCTCTTAAAAACAGCAGCTTTTCCCCCTTGCACAGGTAGTACTAAGGAAATATCATTGCTTTATTTTTCTCCCAGCTTCATCCTGAAACTTTCCAACTTTCTAAATCACATTTGTTTTAAGATGTTTGAACAACATGATTTACTTGAAGTTTACATAAAATACATCTTATCAGAAATAGAATGGCTTAGTTTGCCATCAAAATCATACAAGCTCTGCAGAGCTGCTTCTATGTACCTGCTATGAAAGGAATCACAACAAATTCCTAACTAATTCACAATGAGAATACACAAAATGACGAATTTCTCTCAGCCTTCATTTTAGCATCACTCAGAAATTAAACTTAAATTTGTGGGGAAAGGGGACGTGTTACTATTTCTTTTCTTAAAATAGTCATTTCAGGGTGTTTTTGGGTAGAAACTTCTAACGGCCGGGTGCATACTGACCAAAACTCACACTCAGAATTGACCAGGAGGGGTACCAGCCAGCTCTGTCCTGGAAGCTCATGGCACTTTGTGGCACTCTGCCCTGATGCTCAGCAGGATTTGTTCCTTTGGGCGCAACACTTCCCTAATGAAGCTACACGGCTTTTGTACCAAAGCTGGCCTTCAGCCAGTCAGCTTCCAGTTTGGCAGAGGAGCTTTAGCCTTTTTTGGTGTTCTCTTGCACTTGTCCATCAAAAGATAATTTGCAGCTTTTATCCTAAATAATGATAGTACTGTCTCTTCTTCCATCAAACCAAGTGTAAGTTATTACATGATTTTACAAGGTACTATTAAACAGTATTTCCCCCCATGGAAAAATTGAGGCCTGCTTGCACCCGTCTGTGGAGACATGCCCATTAGCTTCCAGGCAGTAGAGGCTGGCCAAAATGCTAATAGGCAAAACTGGCTTGTAAAAGTACACATGAAGCCAAATTACAACAGCAAGCAAAAATACCAGGACTGCTTCTGACTTAGAAAAGGGAGGTTCCTATCTTGGGGATCTTCTATGCTTCAGGACACGATTTAGTTCTGACAACATTTTTCACAGAAGAAACATGATTTTACAGGTGAACAAAGTGTTTCCAAAATCAAGCAAGCCATGCAACACAATTCTCTGCACGGCTCTGCAAAGCTCTGCATTTATTTTTGTCTTGCATAATTTGATACTACAGCACAACTGTCTACATTTAGTGGCTAGATAGGGGTATATTCACCTGAACAAAAGCTACAGAAAACTGCACCATTGTCTTCTTACCTTTCTCTACCAACATCTACAATTAAAAAAAAAAAAAATCCAGTCCAACTACTCTTAAGTAATACACATTGTACCTCATCAGTCTATGACATGATTCAACCTTGTCCTCAGTTGATTAGCCTCACCAATGTTTGATGATGTCCAAAACTGATGCCTTAGACTAGATCTGTACTTGCAAGTTTTTTGCTCTCAAAGCTTGTCCTTACTCACGTAAACTATAGAAAATTATGTCAGAGTACCACCGAGCTCTTGGGGGGCTCAGCGGCCACTCGTAAACTCCTCCGCAACGCGCACAGGCCCTACTTAGCCACTGATAAAGCACCATGTTTTACAAGCCTGAAAAGATTAAATATTTCTTTGAACACTAAAAGCAGCTCAAAGGCTTATATTTACATAGTGTATAATTGCTAGTGTTGTGCAATTTGACCAGAGGGACTTTACTAGGCTCCCAGCACAGCAAGTATTGTATAGCAACCTTGTAAAAGAATTCTCCTGTGTGCTCTCATTCCACCTTAAAAGTTAATTTTGTTCCTCCCCCTACAAAAGTTTGCCACTTCATATAACTTATTGCCTTGAGGCTGATAGGAGAGGTAAAATTCTTCACCCTAGAGGACAGGAAAAGAAGCTAGGGGCTGAAAGACATTAGAAAAAACATTTCAAACAGTAAGTTTAAGTAAGCCATTAAAGAAAACCTGTTGATTCTAACTTATTGGAAGCCTGAAAAGGCATCTTCAATAGCATCTGTTAGGAATGGCATCAGTATGAGGAATCTGCTAGATGGGCCAGATGGCCTATAAAGGCCCCCTCTAGACCTGTTTTTTTTTGTGATCTTGCAATGGAGAGGAGTAAAGACCAGATTAAGCAATCTCTAGGAGAGCTTCAAGAGCACCTGAGAAGCCTCTAATCTATCTTCCAGTTTATCTTGTTCTTCTGTTTGAGTAAGGAATGTTAATTAAAATATCTTAAGGAATTTGGACAGCAATTATAAACCTTTACAATAGCCAGCCTCAGGCACTTAACAAAAACAACAATTCACATTTATGTTGTGGTTTGCATTTTTCATGGATTAAAGCACATTTCAGACTGTTCCCATTTCAGCACGTACCATATTTACTCTTATAATCACTAGCTGAAAGTGTTTGATTACCAGTCACGTGCCTAGTAGTTTTACAAGAGGGAAGCAGAACAGCCTCTTTATCCACTCTGACAGGAAAATTTGGGGGCTATGCAGGAACAAATACCATACATCATTTCAACCACGCAAAAAGGCTCAGAGAAATCGCTTGTGCCACACCACATACAGCAAAAGACCCCTCTGTTCTCCGCTAGTCCCCATCAGCAGGACTGCCACCGGGAAGAAGCTTCCCCTGATGTGAATCACTACAAGGTCACTTACAGGGACCAGGGTTCTAACACGAATGATGCCCAGGGACTTCTCCCCAGGATGCTGAAAAAATTTTGGTCTATGCACAGATGTTACTTTTTCTACCTGGAATGATAAAAACAGGATTAGTCTGCTGGGATTTGAACATCCAGTTGCCAGGATAGCAGACTGGTAATCATGTCCAGATCCCTAAAAAAGACAATGCTGAAAGGAGGCTGTTGCTCCAAGGTTGATGAAGGGTCTACAGAATAATAAAAAAAAAAATCCTGAAGAGAGATATTACTTCCCTTTTCCACAGGATTTCTCTTCCTTCAGAAATATTCCAATATGCAAAAAATTCCCCTTATTTTTAGTGGATATGACTGTTCGTAAACACAGACTCAACTTTAAAAGTATATCTTGTCAAAAACAGAAGAAAGTACTTTGGCAAACAGAGCATTTTCATCTCGTCTGAAAGGGAAAATTTCTAGCAAAAACTCGATAGAGAAATCATAGAATCACAGAATCATATAATAGTTTGGGTTGGAAGGGACCTTTAAAGGTCATCTAGTCCAACCCCCCTGCAATAAGGAGGGACATCTTCAACTAGATCAGGTTGCTCAGAGCCCCGTCCAACCTGACCTTGAACATTTCCAGGGATGGGGCATCTACCACCTCTCTGGGCAGCCTGTTCCAGTATTTCACCACCCTCACTGTAAAATTTTTTTTCCTTATGTCTACTCTAAATCTACCCTCTCTTAGTTTAAAACCATTACCCCTTGTCCTATTGCAACAGTCCCTGCTAAAAAGTTTGTCCCCATCTTTCTTGTAAGCCCCCTTTAAGTATGGAAAGGCTGCAATAAGGTCTCCCTGGACCCTTCTTTTCTCCAGGCTGACCAACCCCAGCTCTCTCAGCCTGTCTTCATAAGAGAGATGTTCCATCCCTCTGATCATTTCTGTGGCCCTCCTCTGGACCTGCTCCAACAGGTCCATGTCTTTTCTGTGCCGAGGACCCCAGAGCTGGATGGCCGCCTCACATCCAGCTTTTCATCCCCCAGTCCCCCCAAGTCCTTCTCGGCAGGGCTGCTCTCAGTGCCTTCATCCCCCAGCCTGTATTGATACCAGGGATTACCCCGACCCAGGTGCCAGACCTTGCACTTGGCCTTGTTGAACCTCATGAGGTTCACATGGGGCCAGTTCTCAAGCTTGCCCCGGTCCCTCTGGATGGCATCCTGTTCCTCAGGTGTGTCAGCCGCACCACTCAGCTGGGTGTCATCTGCAAACTTACTGAGAGTGCACTCAATCCCACTGTCTATGTCATTGATGAAGACATTATTTTTATAATTAACTTTTCCCTCTGCTGCCCTGCACTTTTCCCCTAAAAAAAAAAAAAAAAAAATCACCCAGTACAAAGAACTAGCTACTGCAAATAATAAGAAAAAATTCACTCTTTCTACACCACCACCACCCCCCGCCAAAACCCACAAAACATGTCTTCCTGTTTGCTTTCCTTGTACAGGCAGAGATACTGATGCAATCTCTCCTCTCTGAAAAAGGAAACGCCTCTATCTCAGTCTGCATCTTTATCCCCCTCAGCAGCTTGACTAAGCAGATTAAAAGAAAAGACAAGTGCACACTGAAGCAGCATTAAAGCCATAACAAAAAACAACAACTGCCAGTTCAGCGGGAAAGGGAAGTACAGTCTGCTGCAACTGCTTAGAAATTAAAGCAGGCTGGAAGAAAGCAAACACGCCAGGTACACTGTAGGTAGGTATGCAAAGGATCCAGCACCATCCCTGTCGTCTGGCTCCCTGGGCTCTGTGGGAAGACTGAGAGATGACAGCTTCTCCATAGCACCCTGTCACCCCCGCTTCATTCCTTCCTCCTTGTCCTCCTCACCCCAAAAAAAGAACCGTTGCTGGCTGTTCCATCACACCTGCTGACAAGGTGAATCTGAAACTTGGCAACTGCCAGCCCTTGACAAAGTGCAATAAATCAAAGCAGGAACCCACTACTTGTATTTGGGGATGAAAGGAAACTATTCAGCCAATTAAAATACTCTACAAAAAAGAGCAAGCAAGAAAGGAAAAGAACAGTGGCGTTATCATACTGAGAAAGCACATTTTGAAATGGAAAAGAGTCAGTATTATTTCATTAAATTATTTTTTTCATACATAACATTTTGAAGCTGTATTTGTATAAACTACTATTCTCATCTATTACTACACAGAACTAGACAAGCAGTTAAAGAAGAAAAAGCACAACATTTCTTGATACTTCTCTTGCTAGCCAGCCACGCTGATCATTTGGGAGATGTTCAACTCTGCCTGCAAAATAACCAATAAGATACTGCACAGAAGGATAAAAATATTTTGTTGCTCATCTTGGTTATTTGTCACAAAAGGAGAATAAGTATAAAAGACATGTAAAAGAAAAAAAAAAAAAGAGATGACGTTATGGAAAAACCACAAAAGAGAAGCGTGCTGCGTTATGGTGAGAAGTTCTTGTAAAAGGAAGACAAAACAACACTCCAAAATTTATGTCCTCTGGCTTGTTTCCTCCAGAGCAGATGCGGGGACCCAGAACTTCACATCAACAAGGAAACAGATGACGAGCCATAGCTCCTGTTAGAAATGCACTTGGCACACACTGAAAAACGGTGGAAAACAACTGATCAACCAATAGGGTATATCATAAATTTGCTTATCATGTAAATATCACCCATCATTTGTCACATACAATTATTAAATCTATTTCCTCAAATTTCTTCAAACAAGGCGGTCTAGGAAAATTACGATGGTTCCCTGCAGTCTACAAACCTACACACGGTTCCCAGTTAAAGGCCACAGCAACCACTTCAAAAATGATCACCAGTTTGTGCGTCAGCTTTACCCGACCGAGTATTTAGGAGGTGCTGAATGAATACTCACAGGTGTGCTGAAGTCAACCATATGTCTCAGTAACAGCTTAAATATCACAGGCCACATTTGAAAATATAGCTTATCTATGAGTATTGGCTAAAAAACTTAACTGACTTGTAAGGACACACACAGAGAAAGCCATAGTAAGGACTTCAGCTTCATAAAGGTTATTTTTAGCTTTGTAATTCAGAAGTACTTTATAAGTACAAAGAAGTCAGACTTAAGGTAGCAGTAAACCACACTACTGGGGGAAGTTTACATTGCTGCAACCTTAACCAATGCTTTGAATGATACTTTAAAAAAAAAAAAAAAAAAATAGGAAATTAGGAAGAGGTTTAGCGCGTAGGGTATCAACTGCTTGAGCTGCTACATTGAGCTTCCAACAACACAACTCCTCAGTGATATGATCATCCTACCCTTTTCTGCAACAACTCCAGCATTGCCAAAAAATATTTTATACCAGAGTGTGCTTCCAGCAGCATTGTAATAGTCATCTTTGTGCAACCCACCAGATGAATCCATTTGCAGTCTGCCTAATGCAAAACACATCTTTCACATGACATGAAACAATTCAGGACACATGCGAATTTCATCCGTGACACAAGGTGGACACAGAAACTCAGTTCATTCCTTGCTTTGCAGTGTCTATATATTTTTTTTTTTTGCATTGAACCCTTCAAGGTTGCGGCTAAGAAGACTGCTGGAAGTTACTGAGCACACATATTAAGTTTACAGGAACCCAGTGCATTAACTTTACAAGTAATTTTACAACAATACAATTGCACTGCAAACCACCCTCACATGCACTGTAAACAACGGTCATGTTTTACAGGGGAATAGAAGGTGGGAAGCACTGAGAATATCTGCTAGCCTGGTGGGGCCAACTTTAAGACTTTTATAAGCCTCACAGTATTTCATGACTTTCTCAAAATCTTAACTCTTGGGAAACTGTGAAAATCTCAGCTTGCTTTTGAAGCTAGGCAGCAGTTTCAGAAACACTCAGCACAAACCATTTCTGCCAACAAATGAAGCAGTCCTGCTTCTCACCCCACTCGGCGGCTCATTCCTGCCTCCGTGCCTCCCTCCCTTTCTGCGGGTGCAAGCCCTGAAGTGAACCACATTTAGGAACAGATCCATTTGAGCTCTTAGTCGTGCTGAATCTACCTGCATTTGTGCCCCAACCCAGTTTACCTGGGGCTGCACAAATGTTCGCCCCAGCACAAAGGGATGCAGAGGCTATAAACCACATCTGCTTCTTTCAGCAGCTGTACCAGCTTAAAAATGATTCATGGAATTATGGCCTATATCTCCAGATAAAGAAACATTTCAGAACTTCTCCCCATTTCACCCTAAAGGCAAATACCATTTGGGAGACAATTAGTTCTTTCCCTCCTCAATTTTACTGAGGCGTGACTCCAGATATTTCAGCACGAGGCTTAACATACTGGGAACCGCACTGGTTCCAGGTGCTTCAGTAGTACAAACAATACCAACTGGGGCAAAGAGCCGGGTCCCGTACCCAAAGCAGGCTACAGGGGATTTGCTCTCAGCTTCACCAGGAATTTGATTCAAACAGAAGAGAACTGAAGTGAAAAATGCCCAGGGTACACAAGCGTATCAAACCCCCACCTCCACACTTGGCATGTACCCCATGTCAATCCACGTTTACACTGCATCAACACTGGTCAGGCACATCAGAACTTCTGTGTAAACATCAAATGCTGCACCTCTCTGCCAAATGCAGTTTAGAGCTTTGTAATAATTTTAAAAATCATACTAATGTGTGCAGCTCTTTGTCCCAGGTACCAGTCACCTACGTACACTGGTTGTGAGCACAGTACTGTCTCAAATCAACAGATCCATTCCACTAACTCAATAGCCAAGACCTATACTTCTGGCTCCTGATGCAGAACAGGCATTTGAAGCATCAGCACCCTCTCACCAATATGGAAAACACGTGTGATAACTCTTATTTACTGTATAATATAGACAACAAGGAGAAAGCTGCATAGCGAGGCATTTTCACTTACGTGGTTTATATAGAGACTCTTGCGTTTTTCTCTCACTGCAAAAACACAAAATATGATAGAAATATTACATGACTATTTTTCCCGATTAAGCTTCTTATATACCATTTATAATAAAAAGAACAGGAGGCTACCTATGTGCAACATTATAACTGCTTTTGCACTAACCAAGTATATTTATATATCAAACACAGAAGGAACATAGATCTGTATGCATAAAGGCATTTACGCTCACTAGTGTGGCGATGGATTAAAATTCTCATCCATTTTTTTGTACTTCACCAGGCGTTGGTCCGCATGGGAAAGTGAATATGCAGTAAGCTACAGTCCAAGTTAGCAATGGATTAGCCATCCTTCACCAGTTCTCTGTGTGGGTACTCCTGAGCCACCAGTGCCTTCGTGCAAGGCACCTTGCTGCAAAGCTGCCTACACTACCTTGCAGGTATGAAAGCACCTAAATAGCTATACCATGGAGTTAGCAAATTCTCATCATAGCTTACTGTGCACTAACTCCCATAGAGCAGCCTTGAAACCATATGCATTACATCACTGCCTTCTATAATGATCAGGGGCAAGCCTGAAACTATTATTCATGTCGGATATAACAATGAAAATATATTACTATGGTGAGTATGGACCAGTCACCACAAGCAAGGGTTGCAAGTCAAAGCCACAATTAGCCAAAATATTCAGAAAGTAAACAGCAACAACAATGGAGATAGATGTATAGAGTCTTAATTGTCAGGCAAATCCTTGTGACAGCTGATTAAATATACTCTATTTAATTTTTTAAAGCACTTTCCCAATTAACTCACCCCATAGAGAGCCTGTGGAGCTCTGTTCCAGTGAAAATACCACAGCATTTAGGATACAAGTCTGGAGGCAACTAACACATAAATCAAACTGCAGGATTAAAATAATAATGGTTTCATGCTGTAGGTGATTAAATGCACTTTGGTGCACCATGAATTGAAAGCTATGCAACCCAATGCACTTAGCAAAATAAGAGTGTTCATAATGGTGGGATAGCCTGTCCATTCCCTGTTGGATGAGAAGCCATTATTTGTGATTTTTTATAAGCAAGCAATCTCACATAAACAAGGCTGTATGTGTGCATACTGTGAAATAATTGTGTTTAATGCAGACATAAAATGAAAAGAAAATAAGAAAAAACTTTTAAAAATCCTTACATAATTTTCCTCCCAGGGAGCAGAAAGGAGAATCACACATGACAGATGTTAGCCATGTCACTTAGCACATGCTCAGATCCACAATTACGGACATTGTAAACACAATTAAACAGGAACAGCAGGAAAATTCTGACCGTCTAGTAAATAGTTAAACTGCTTGAAATCCTGCTAAAACACTGCACTACACTTAAGTTCCACACGCTGTATTTATCACCAGCAAGGGACATAAGTAATCTAAAGGGAAACGACAAAATGATGGTAGATACTCACTTCTAAGAATAGCCAAAGTATTTGTCTAGCATTGCATATTGCAATGGACAGGCAGTAAACAATTCTGATAAGCTGCATGTAAACCTAATAGAGTACATAACTGAAAATTAACACCTATCAACTGCAAAATTTTGAACACAGTTAAGTATTTAACAGTGTTTTAAGCACAAAAAAATTATACCACGTACAAAGTTCTTATGAACAAAATCCTATAAAGACAGCCTGCACATACACTCCAAATTCCTTTCTTCCCCTACCTTAGTTTTTCTCTTCTGTATTTTCCCTTGTATCCATTATTCAATTCCCCAAGAAAGTACATTCATCTATTTACCAAAGCAAGAATATCACTCACAGTTCATTCCCATTTGCTATTTCCAACCTCCAGAAGAATATATGAATGCATTTATACACACCCCTCACTTCTCCCTGCTCAAGCACTGCTTGTGCTGCACATTCTTCTAAGCACCACGTTGACCTCCTTTCCCTTATTTTCCCCATACAACAGAAATTCAGTTAACCTGGATTCTCCGGTGAGGGACTACAAGAAGGAAGCTGTGCTTTTGTGCTTCTGGCCCACTCTGCCATAGCGTAAGGCTCAACTCTTCCCAGAACGTATGCCGAGGGGGAATCGGGCACAGCAGAAACCCATCTTGTCACAACCACTTTCTTTTGTGATCACAACCCTCCTTTTAAACCAGGGAAAGACAATTATTGCACAAGGCAAAAGGCCACTTCTGCCAAGCTAAAATGACCAAAAAAGTTAATTCCATCACTTGGCTTCAGTCAGTTTAAAGACACTTTGCACTGCTCTCAGAGCACAGCATGCTCTTCAGCAGACCAGACTGCAGTATTAAAATTAACCATTATTTTGTAGCATGAACGCCTAACTGCAACTCCTGGCTTCTGGCTTTCAAGCACAGGGTTTTGATGAAATGAAGCTGAACAGATTTAGAGTCAGTTTAAATAAACTTCTGTTTTCTTTCTAACATTTTAAAGCTTCAAAGTTGGAATGGAACTCTTCAAGTGGAGACTGAGATGCTGCCAAATTGTCTTAGTTTTCCTCATTTTAAGGTCAACGACCTGCTCCTATTTCTGCAGGCACTTTCAATTGTTATTGCTGAACTTTCGCAATAGTAGGAAAATATATTATCCTGAAATAAAAGGGAGTGAGGAAATATACACACATATATGTACGCGTGTGTGTACATCTATGTATGTATTTTTCATTGAGCTGTAACAGAAACTTTCTTTGTGCAATTTCTATAGACTATCTTAACGTTACCTCTATCAGGATCGAAGACAAAATCCTTGAGGATTACATCAATAAAAATGTCTCGCATTTTGGGAGTTTGTAAATAATTTTTTTGTTTTATCCGAGACAGGAGACTGGTCCTAGTTAACATTAAAGAGTAAGCGCAGCTTACTTCACTTCTATCCACTATATAAATACAATTTCAAAATCCTCTTTGTCTGAAGCCCATTGTTGGACTGATACTGCAAAATTTAGCCAGTACATTGAACGTGTAAAGCCTAATGTAAGTTAGGAGAGGTGGACAGCTGTAACCCATGTACAGGAAAGACCATGACCAGCACCCTGAAGTAGGAACCGTTGTCCTCTTGCTATTATAAGGAAAGGAAGTTACATTATTGCAGTGCTAAGGTTTGGAAATCCTGGCTTAACCACAACCACACACTAAATAGTGCATGGCTTTTCAGTCACCTAGACCATCCTGCTTACAGTCCAAACTCAGCAAACAAGGGAGAACGTGCATAAAGCACTCATAGAAGTTAAAGACAATATAAGGTGGTATTCTTTACTAGCCCCCTAAACAGGGAGAATTACTCATGTAAGATTCAGCACCTAGAAAATTCCCACAAAGAGCTGGAAACATTTACAAAAGCTACTTTAGTTAGGAATTGAATTAATATTTATTATGTCTTCAACTCTTCTACAGATTTATTGAACTCTCAGGTAATTAAGGATGCATTCAGACTACGGACTAAGAGGGACAGGACAGATATAGATGCTTAGCATGGCATCCAAGCTTCACAGAACAATGGGAAATTCAGACCATGTAATCCAAAGACGCCACGTCCTGTCTCATTATATTTGGGGCAGGCAGCTTGTTGCTCTTCACTCACGTGTTGGTCACAAGCAGCTCAAGCGCAGCTCCTGTGCCAGGACAGTACGGTAAGATTACCAGCTGAGGCTGAAAGAGTACAGGGCTACTAGAAAGCCAAATGTGGAACTGCCTGAAGGTAACATTGCCAAGTCACTCTAGCATGTAGTTATGGACTTGGCCATTTCCTGCTGTAGAAATACGTGGTGAACACTCAAAGAGTCACAGCCAGATCCTGGATGAAACCTTGAGTCTTGATGTCCCTCAGCTCTCATCATTAAAATATGATGTCCCTCATATTTTAAATGCCTGCAGTTCTTATCTATAGACATATTTTCACTTACAGTCAACAGGAAGGTTTGCCAGCCCAACACTATATAAGTAACGGAGAGAGGTAGTTAAATGCCCAAGTTCGGTGTTTTCAACATTGCCAGCTCAGCTCTCTCCCTTCTACACTGACTGAAGAAGTCTTGGGGGTCCCCTAGGCTCCACAGCAGGCTGGCAGAATACAATCCTACACACCCTAAAAAACCATTATATTTTCCCCTTAACAAGGATTTTATTGCATTTTGGTGTTGGGCAACATCCTTGACTAGTGTGATAACTCCTACAGTTCACGTGGTTCCACAACGGGCCCAAAGTACAGCCAAGCAAAATGCTTACTACTGTGAGCTGTCCCACCAGAACGGGATGGCTCTTGGCAATACATCAGCAGATAAATGTTTGCAGAATCTTTTTTCTTTTGTACAAGCAAGATAGACTTTGGATTTTTTCCACCATGATCAAGGATAGCTGAACAGATCTTACACTTCTGTTGATAACGTTTCTATATTGTTTCACTAAAGTCATTGTTCTCACTCAAAAATATGTTCTTTGTATTACTTAAACTAGAACAAAGTTTCATAGACCAACTCTAGCATGGGTGTAAACTGTAATTTTAAAAAATGCTTACAATTAATTCCATACTGTAATAAATTAACCACTACTACTACAAGTAAGAATAACCATCTGGTCAAAATTTTAGTTGTTGGACTTGGGATTTTTTTGTCCTTTTTTTTCAACAAGCTGTAACGAGAAACATGTAGCATCCATATGGGATTATACAGTCTCAAAACACTATAAAATCACTATAAAACTACTATAAAATAGACATCAATCTTCATAATAGAGTGTACTATGGCAATATTATCATATTCATTTTACAGACTACCAAACCAGATTAGAATGGTAAATCACATCCAAAAATCACATAATAAGGCATTGACAGAACCAGGGCTGAATTCAGAAGGACAATCTGAAGGGCAAAAGAGGTATTCACATAATCAACTCTTCAATTAGGGCCTAAATGTATATCCTCTTTGTTCTAGTCATGCTCAAAAATCAGCAAAAAATATACAGTAAGTGAAAACTACCTTATTTTTAAGTGATGTGTTTGACACTGCAATTTACTATGTAAATCAAAAACGGCATTTATAGGCAGCAGAAAGAAGGACAAAGAATTCATACTGAACAGTCAGAATTACAATGTAGAAACTGCTTTGAAAGTCTTGGTAGAAAATAATGTGTTTTGCATTGATTATTCATCTACTTCCAAAACAACATGTCATACATGTCCAACAGGGAATGAAAGAGCCAGAATAAATGGCTTCTATTCTACTAACTCTATCAAGAGGCTTGCTTAACAGATGTAATTCCAGAGGGATCATTTTGTCTATGAATTAAAAAAAATACTCCAGACAAATATATGATTATATCAAATCCATAATGAGAGAAGAGAGACTGTTTGGATGGGATGGGGGTTGTTTGGTTATTAAAATCTAGTATTGAGCTTATTTACAGTATCAGCTGTTCGGAGGAAACTCTGGACTGTCTTCTTAGCTAATGTAAACTGGCATTTTCTCAAGAAAATACTCCCCACACATTTCCCAGAAGCTTGGCCTAATGTTCAGAGTTTAAAAAAAACACAACAAACAGTTACACCGAAAATTTTGGATTTAGGAGAATATTTTAAAAATATAATTACATTAACCTTTATCCATATTTGCAATTCTAATACGACAACTACTTGGAACTTACAATTTCAGGACATGACAGGACTCAAACCTGTACCTTCTACTACTGGTCTGACAAAATAATTAACTAAAGGTGTGACTTCTTTCAACTCTAACATGATGCCCATAAAAGCCTCTTTTTTTGGGACGGGAATTATATATTAAGAGACTATCACATGCATTCTAATAAAGGGTTTAGAGATAACTGCAATAGCAAATATTGTAATAAATTCAGTAACCTACCATCTGTTTGCGATTTACTGAGAAATATCGTACTGGCCCGTGGATGATCTGATGGGTTGAATTCCATGTTCAAATCTAGAAAGAAAGAAAGAAAGAATAGCACAAAAACATTTATGATTATCCAACAGTATACAGAGATTTTCTCCTTCTTTTTAATAAGGCCAAGTTTACATACTTGAGTAGCTATTGTAAAATAAAATTCATCTTGAGGCCCACTTTTTTATCCTTCTTCACACAAGTGGCTCTTTTTGGCATGGAAATCACGTGCATCAACACAGCTTTGGGATTAGACTTCGATTCTAAGGGCTGCTTTTGGATTAAAACAGATAAAGCAGCTTGAGAAGTTTGTACACAAGTAGTCAGGAATGATCAATTTACCATCCATTTCTTCCCACCATGCCCCAAAGCCATTGCTAAGCACAGGAACACAGCTTGTTATATGTAATTATAGAAGAATTAAGTATTATAAAACAAATACGCAACCCTCTGTAGATAGATGGGTTTCCAAGATTAGATGTGATTAAAGTAAGTAGTTATTGCAGCTGAATGTAAACAAGTCTAGGCCAGAGTGTTTTAAATGGTCAAGAGTACAAAAACTTGGAACTTTCCTGATACTTCACAAATGAACGTATTCCTTGCTGTGACGACAGTTAAAAAAAAAAAAAAAAAAAACCACAAAAAAAACCCCAATCAAACCAAACAAAAAACCCAAAAGACAAAGCAGTCCTAAAAAACATTTACCAGGTTAAAGATTAAAATTTATCAAAGCTTATACATACTTTTAGGAATGTTATTTTCCCTGTCGAGGTTAAAATCAATTGAATTTACTTGTTCCCAAATTCCTACAATTTGTCAAAACTCCTATGCCTGCATCCACTTGAAAGCGTGCTACTAAAAATAGCACATCATTCTTTACCACTTTCTTGCTCTCCCAGTGTGGCTATCTCAACCTTAGTTCTCTTACATTTTCTTGATCTCTAGATATACGTTCTCTTGCATTTGTTGCAGGCACTTATGCGAGACTACATATGAGCACTGACATATTTATCTTCTGTGATTATCCCAGGCTTTCCACATTTCTTTCACTCCCCTTTCATATCTCTGTGAAAGCTCAGCAAAACTGGAAATTAAGCCCCAGATCTTGTGAAAACAAAACAAAGTCTTTTTGCCCAGGGGTTAAGTTCTCCTGTCTACAGCTTTCCTTGTTCCAACCACGCTCTCTTCTCCCTTTCCCTTTTGTTTACGAATTTACTAGGTCTTCCACTTCCCTGCTTTTTTCTCCCAACTACACACCTCTCTACAAATGTACTTTCTATTTGTATTTTTCCCCTCTATGCTCTCTTGGTTTCCTTTTCATCGCCCTGCATTCTGCAGCCTGTGAGATGAGCAGCCTGATGTGCTGCTGGTACCTGGACATAACTTCTGGAATAAACAAGATCTTACAAGGAAGAACCCAAAAACACAGAAGAGCAATTCCTCTGTTGGAAGGGGGGCTTATTATTATCATCAAACCCACAAAGGAAAAAAACAAACAAACAAACAATCTAACAATTTCAAGGAAAAGTGATTTTGATTCTCCCAGAAACCACAGTTTGCAGTCAAGCTTGGAGAAGATTCTAGGAAGGTCACCTTACTACTAGAAGTTCTGACGTGAAAAGACTGTGAATTAGAAAGAACATTTTTCCTCTTACTTTCTGCATCTTATTTAGACATACAAAAGAAGAAAAAAAGAATCACCCATTGAGATAGATATTGCTGGTAAAGATCATTGTCCATTTCAGGATAGTTTTTCTGCTAAGCAGAATTCAAGATGCAATTCATTAAGTAAAGATTAATCAGCATTTTAAAATGACAAAAAACATTGAATTTAATCATCCTTGTCATCTTTTATCAAACAGCACGATACATCACCATAAACAAAAAAAAGTCTTGTTTTTTTTTTTAAACCAGTACAGACAATCTTTCTACAAGTCTTTTAAAGTACAGGAATGCAAATTCAGTCAACCCAACAGGACCAGCAACATGAAACTGAACTTACAAAACACTGCCCCTGAACAGATAGGCATTCCTTTCCATCAGGCCCAGAAAATTATCTGCTTGGGCAGTAATAACAACCCGGTACAGGCTTACAGACTGCTTTCAGGGCCAAAAAGAAAGGAAAACCAATTGCCACATCTTGCAGTCAAGTTGCAACTATTTAAGATTCCTGTGTTATAAAAGGCTATTATGCAGAAGCAGTAAACCAACAGAGGACTTAAAGTCTTTCTGGAAAAAAGCATGAACTACCAAAAAGCACTGGCTCTCGGATAAACTGTTATTCTTCAGACAAGAGCTGAAAGAAGGCCAGCAAAATCCAATCTCAGCAGCTGCAGAGGCCAGACGAGGGATTTTGAACCATCCTGGGAGGGGCAGGGCCCCGCCGCCCAGAAGTCGCCCG